TTCAACCACCTTTGCCGACGTTCCACATGATTTTTGAAGTTGGCGGAAGAAGTGTGGGGTGGGTTTGACTACATCTGTGAACAATCTCTGGCCTTTACCACATGTGTGGTCCGGGGATCGATTCGCAGACCAACTTCCGCCTTGTTCAACCAAATCTTGCATTCCTCGGCCTTCACTTCATTTTTACAAATCTCGTGCGGGGATATAAACATTGACTCCTATATTAGCTGACCCACCCAAGTAATTGTAAAAAGTGCATGCGCATCAAAAGCCTACGATTTGAATGGAAGTTGAGTGCGAGGCGTATACCCAATGGGATTGATGAATGCTGAGAATTATCAGTTCGTTAACTTTTGAAAAAAAGGATGCGTCATAAGTAGAAGGGTTAGAAGGGAAAAACGATTCGCTAATACATACAATAGGCTCATTTGTGGACCTGCTGTAAGTGGGCAATCACGTAGGAATCGGGATGGTATAACGCATGTCCAAGAAATATGGCCCATAGGACTCTCTATTTTTCTCCAAAAAAATGACTAGTGTTTTCTGTAAAGTCTTATACTGCGTTGTCGAACAGGACTGTTATGGTAGAACCTCTTTGTTAGGTCCCAATCCCAGACAAATTAGGAGCTGAACGTTGTTCGAAGCCTTTGATCTGTGGTTTACCCGATCAAGCGCGCAAGCGCACTAGGCCTGTAGAAAGAACTAGGGCAAAAGCTCGGACAGTAAAAGTTTTCAGCCAAGTAATCAACCTTTTGCAATTCCACCAGCGTAGAGGTTCTTTTTCGAATAAGTGAGCATCAGTGGACGAAAAAGACACCGCTAGTAGCCGTAAGTTAAAGTACGGGTTATGTGGTGATCTGAAAGTCCACGAAAAACATAACGACAGGTTGCTTTTGTAGTAGCCACGCACTCACTTCGGTTGTCCAGTTTTTGATTTTGTTTTGGTCAAAATGTTTCAAAAAGTGTTTTCAATTCCAGGTGGTGCATATACCAATCCAATAGCACTCGATAACGAAGATGAAACTGCTGAAAATCGGCCTTCTTCTCCACTTCCTCCACGTCCTCCTCAACGTAACCAGTGCGAAATCGAAATAGAACCCGGTGTGTTTGCATTAACAAGAAATTTACGACAGTTAATGGCCGTCTTTCCGGATTCGCTGAGGGAAGCAGCTGCTTTCACACGACAGAATAAGTTTTTAGGTGGCAATTGGAGCGTAGTACTCCCCAAGTGAAATGGCGTCAGCTTTCGTTGCCACACTTTTCCCATCTTTTTTCCAGATTATAGTTACATATCCATTACTTCGTCAGTGAATTCGTATCAAGACTTCCATTTGCAGCACCCATTCCTCTACAATCTCCCCATTGCCTTCATGAACCACATAACGGCTTATTTTGACTCAGGGCTTAATCATTTGCCCAAAACGGCGTCATGTTTACGTTTTTT